AGAGCATAACCTTTGCCACAGGTTGCTAGTGTTGCAGAATAGGAATTATTCATTTGTTTCACACGAACTGAGATTTGTAAGGCCTTATTGGAGAGTGTAGATATAGCCAAATGTGTGTCAGCAGGAGTATTAAAGTCTCCTTGAGGCAAATTTTAAAGTTCAGTGCTAAAAATGTCTAGAGATCCAGGGGAAGCTCTTGGCACAAGCCTGGCTATTGTGGCATTTGGGAAGTGAATAATCAGATGGGTGATTCTTTCTCTCTGTTTCTTTCTCTTCTTGCTCTGCCATTCAGTTATATAAATAAGCCTTAATATATATATATATATATATATATATATATATATGTATATATATGTATAGAAACAACCCTACTGTTTCTAAACTTCTGACAAAACTTAAAAATATTAACTCCCTTAGTGAATTTGAAATAGTATGAATTTTTTGTGCTCCATTTTTGATGATATTACAATTCTCAGATTTCATCAGATCAGGAGTATTTTTGTTTTCCAAATATGATTCCTCATTTAAAAATTTGTTTTGTTATCATAAGGTCTTCTGTTGACTTGTTAAGCACATCACCCCTAAACTAGCCATAGTTTTAAAATGTCATTTCCAAATTAAAAATATTCTGTTGTTTAGAATTCATGGCTCTGGTTCACCAAGGTTTGATTTTTTTAGGGTGAAATATATCTATATTTCACATTATACACTCACATACACAAAAACAGGGCACAGTATGATAGACAGCCTGGTGACTTAGTCTTCAACTTGCATGCTCTGGGATCCTATATGGGCTCTGAATCATGTCCTGGCTGCCCCACTTTCCATCCACCTCCCTGCTTCTGGCCTGGGAAAGCAGTAGAAAATGGCCCAAAACCAGGCCTCTTTGAGTTTATAAGGGAAGAGGCCTTTTGATTGATGTCCTAGTGGGTAGGATCAAGTACCAGCCTCTGTGAACTGATACGTGCACTTGAAATCTTGCCCTTCACAAAAATGGGCCATTTCTAGCATTAGCTAGATGATCCCAGAAGTTCCCGATTGTGTTCTGCCCTATACACAGGTTATGCATGTGCCTTCTACTTTGGTCACCTCATTTCTGAGTGTCACCCTAATAACTCCAACAACCTCGGTTCCCCTAGGGAGCTGCAGAACATTGTTCTCCCTAATGTCTTAAAAAGACGTATTTGATAACTGTGATTTTAGCTTTTTAAAAATGCTGTTATGCTGTGGCAATATCAAGACCACTTGAGCAAGAACCTCAGAGCATGTCCTATATCCGGGACCTGGGGAGGGTGGGAAATTGGGTGGGCTTCTCCCTTAAATACCCCCCTTTGAATATGAAGCTAACAATATGGAAAACATACTAGTATTATCCACTTTCCTGTAGCCCTTGAACCTTCTTACCCTAATTAACTATGTAAAGAATGTCAAAATAAAATTTATTAATAAGAAAAAAAAATGCTGTTATGAAGTCTCTTAATTTGGAGGACAACACTCATGCAAAGTTTAGTAATTCCTTCAGTTTCCTTTTCTTATTGGAGTTCTTGTAAGTGATACTCTTTACTAGATGTGTTGCTTTAAGGCCAGAATAGAGGAGTATGTATTTTTTAAAGAGTTTAAATCAGACACCTCCCAGGGTGTGAGAGAGTTACAGCCTGTGTTCCCACTGCCCCTCAAGCAAGTGCCATTGTTGCCTGGTTCTTGTTCACCCAACACGATTTCAGTTTGTCATGCATTCCAGAAATCTTGTCACTGGAGTTAAATGTGCTATTAGAGTGTGGGTAAAGGGTTAGAATGCTAGAATGGAATGTTATTGTTGGGCAGTGTGAAGTTCCCTTGTGGTGATGGTGCCATCACCATCTTTGTTGAATAGAGAGAAAGCTTCCTTGAACTCGGCAGTTTGCTCTTGGGTCAGTTGATCAGTCATGGTGCGAGCAAAGGGAGGACTATCTGAGGGAGTGAGGGTGACTGCAGCTGCACAGGGGCTGTGACGGCAGGGGTGCCTCTGCTGCTGCTGCTGCTAAGTTGCCATGTGTGCTCTGTGCCATGCCGTTGCTGCTGCTGCCTTCAGCACTCCACTGCGAGTAATGGCACCGCATCCACGAGCCACTTAGCACCACTGTCCAGGGCCTCCAAATGTTAGGGTCCTGGCTCGAGCCCCCTGTGCGATAGGGTGCGAGCTAGTCAACCCCTAGAAAATGACCAAGAGTCTCACTGGTAATGCAAAAATCAAACAGAGTTTATTGTGCCAGCATGCTGGGGCCAGACTGTACTTGGGGCACACAGGCCAGCCAAGTGGAGGTCGGACCTCGAACTAGGAAAAGACAGGAGATTAAATACACCCTTTTTGGCTGAGACATACATCCAAAGTAACAACCTTAGACGTGTTAATTTTTATGGCCTTCAGGTGCAAGCAGTCTGCTCAGTTCTCATACTCATTATCTTTATGGCTCATCCCATTCTCACACCCTTATCTTCCTCCTGTTGCTGGGACCAGAGAAGAATTGCACCTCTGCCCTCCTGTGCCTGGGTTAGTTGATAGAACACAAGGTTGCAGGGCAGCAAGGAACAGCTTTATTGCTAGAGTGGATTCTTCCCTGAGTTCAGGTGCCTCCTGTCCTAGTAGTGTAGCAGTTTCTCAGCACAAAGGAACCTCACACTGCCCAACAATAGCATTGCATTGAAGCATTCTAACATTTGACCCACACTCTAACAGTGCTCTGGTGAATCCAAGACATGGTGGGGAAAATACCCTTTTATATTTGAGGGAAAAAATGATGACTTAGGGACCCAGAATACCCTAACTGCCTACTACCCAGTCTAACTCCTCTCTCACGTTGTTACCAGGAATGCCCAGTGGGTTTTTTCCTCAGCTTATTGCAAAAATAAAAGCCGGGAATCTGTTGCATACAGAAAAGTTTACTTGTGAAAGGATCAGGTGAGTAGGAATGGGAGAGGGAAGGAGAAATCACTTTCTGAGAGAAAGCCAGGAGGTGGAGTGCCTCTCTACGGCTGGAGGGAGAGACACCAAAAGTTTGAGGAAGGTTCTTGGGATTTTAAGTGTTCCCTGACCCCTCCTTGTTGGGTAGGAACCTACAGGTATAAGGTTCCCCATTGGTGGTCTCTTAACCAATTAGGAAATGGGTGGGCAATAATTGTGCCACCCAAATGAAGGTGTGTCCAAGAACTCAGCAGGCCTTGATGGTTTCATCCATGGTATCTCATGGTCCTCCCTGGAGGTCGTTTGTTCCCTGTGGGCCAGCCCATTGTCCCTGTCCTATATGTGGGGTGGATGCAAGCAGAGTGCAAACTTCACCCATATGCTGTCATCACTTACGCTTGGACTCTGATCCCATCAGACACATGATGTCCAGTGGTGAGCTCTCTTATCTCTTCATCTACAAGTAAAGGTCAGTGTTGGGGGAGAACTTGGTGGGAGGCAGCAGTGTCTCAGTCTCTTCTCACTACATGCCTGTCCCTCAGCCTGAGGACAAGAGGCTCTGGACTGGAGCCTGTGAGCCCTCTCTGGAGCCAATACCTGTCTCCATGCTTTTTTGTCCTGCCAGGCATCTGAGAGTCTTCAGGGACTTACTTTAGGATCATGTTTGTGAGATGAAAATGTTAGTTATTTAAAAAGAGTTAGAGTTCTAGTTTTAGTTCATATGATATTATATTTTATGCGTAGCTAATTGCTGCAACCTATTTCTTTACCGTGAGCTGAAAACACCAGAGGCTACTAGGTATCTTAAGAGGTTTATTCCAGAATGGCAGGAACAGTGTTGGGGTGGTGGAGATCAGAAAAAGGGGAAAGGGATCGGGAGGTGGGAAAGTCAGGCTGGAAGGAGGAGAGAGAAGAGAAAGAGCAAAAGAAGAGAGAGCTGCACCTGGGGGGGCCTTTTTGTCTGCCAGGTGTTGGGGGTAGGTTTGGGAGTGATTAAGGGCAGGCCCCAGGGGATTGGCAACTGCAGGTGAATGCCTAGGGAAGATTGGTGAGTTGGCAGGTTTGCTGAAGTGGCTGGAAGATTGGGGGTGGGATTCTTAGGTGGAATGCCAGGTTACATCTGATTGGTGGATGGCTGGACTGACACGAATTTCGTGAGTTGTGAGGAAGAAGGAATGGCACCGGGTCCAGGGTGAGATATTCCCGTAACCACTGCAGGCTTTGGCGCTGCTGGACCAGGGTGAAGTTGGGTTCCAGGGGCTTATGGGGCTTATTCTGGGATCCCCATGGGGATGTAAGGGTCCAGGAATGGTGAGCATCCTCTGTTGGTTTCTCAGCCATGTTAGCAGTTGGTATTAAAGTGATGCATATCTGTGTTCCAGCCTTGCAGTTGCCGGTTTATCCAGATACCACAGTGTTCCCCTGGTTCTTCAGTTTCATCACACAATCTTGAACTTCACTATTTGAAGGATTGGTGCAGACCCGCTGTCCCCCTTTCGTGTGGAATCTGAGAAAGGAAATAAAATTGGAGACTGGGTTGTGTGCACAAATGCAGTGGGAGCCCCATTCTCTTGGAATTTCGGAGTCCCCACTCAGTACTGCTCTTCTTTCCCTCTCTGACTCTTTGATAAGTGCCTTGTGATTTGTGGAAGTTCAATGGGCAGCTTTCTGCCTGCTGTGCAGCACCTCCCTCCTCCTGGCCCCTGCTCTCTGTGAGAGTGACTCTTTCTGGCCTTTGGTCAGAACAGCAGGTGCCTTTCAACTAACCGGATGTTGAGGTGGGAACCATCAGGACAGCCACACATCAAGTGCTCTCCAGAGACTCTATAGGCTCTTGTCTCCAGCATGGGGTGAGTGAGATTAGTACTTACATGACAGCTGGCATGGGACATTGACCGCTGGTTTCAAAATAATCTTTCATGTTGCTGCACTGGATGCGTCGTGTGGTGTAGGAGTAACAGCAGTCACAGAGAGATGGTGAAGTACAAGGAAGGATAGAAACTTTTGTGATCTCTACATCTGGAAGAAAGAGACATACATGGTAGGGAAAGAACTTGCTGGGAGGCAGCCATATCTCAGTCTGTTCTCACCCCCTCTGAGCTACGAGGATGTGGACCAGAACCCTAAGTCCTGTCTTGGTCCTGTAACTGCCTCCATGCCCTTTTGTCCCACAAGAGGCCTGAGAGTTTTCAGGGACCTTTGGAGGAGCCTGTTTGCAAGATGAAAGTCTTCTGCTGTCTCTGAAATGTTAGACACAGACTGCGACTCTTACATGGATATGCTATTGGGTCGTCTAGAGCATGTGATGCTGTGCACAGATGTTAATATAGATATCTGGAATCCACAGGTCTCTGGAAGCAAGATTTTTTTGTCAACACAGTGTACTCAGGAGCATTCAATACCTTCAAATGTCTGTACAACTACTACTACTGTGCATTCACAAATTGTTTTTTTGCCTTACAAGTTTGAAACTCTACCTGTATTAAATGCTAACTGCCTGTTCTCCTCCCAGCTGGCCTCAGCACCTTGTTACCTCTGTCTCTGAACTGGCTACTCTGTGTCACTCAGGTGAGTGGGATCATTCAGTTGTGTTCATCTATGAGTGGCTTCTCTCACTTAGTGTGATGTGCTCAGTGTTCATCTGTCTTGTGTCTTGTACTGGCTGTCCTTGCTCTTAGGCTGAGTGTGAGCCCACTGCATGTGTGCCTCACATGTTGCTTGTCTGTGCATCCATTGGGACCTTTGGGTTGCTTTAGTCTTTCACAAGTCATGCTACTGTGAACATGGATGCATAGCAAAATCTTCACACATTTGTACTTTCAGTTTTATTTTTGTTTTGAAACAATTTGTTTCATAATGTATTGCTTCTTTTTATTTGAAAGGCACAGAGTGTTACAGAGTCAGAGTCAGAGAGTGATTACCTGTGTGCTGGTTTCTTCCCCAGATGCCTACAACAGGTGGAATGGAGCTAGGCTGAAGGGAGGAACCTTGAACTAAATCCAGCTCTCCACATGGGTAAGCACCCAGGTTCCTGACCCTCACCTGCTGCCTCTCATGGTGTGCACTAGCAGGGGTGGTATAACTGTAAGTGGAGCCAGGACTTGATCTGAGACACTCGGTCAGTGATGGACGTGTCCCAAGTGGCATCTGAACATCCACCAAGAGCCCACAGTGATCCAGTTTCAATGTTCTTAATGATAAGTGAGACATGGGATTGTGGGATTATATCATGCTAACTTTTGAAAGCTAAATACTTCTGCATCTCAGTGTTCATCAGGACTGAAAATTCATTTAATGTTTTGGGTAAGATACAGCAGACCAAATATTCATATTAACAACAATTAATATTGTTAATTACTTAAGTACACTAAACATTTAGCTTGTCTTCCTACCTTCCTGCTTTCCTTCAGCTTTCTTGCTTTGCAATCTTCTTTCAGAGTAAGCTCTTTCCAAAATTCACTACATTGTCGCATAAAGTGAGCTTGAAATACATAATTCCATATTGAAACATAAATTGGACTGTGACATTAATATTTCATGTGGCAATTTACTCTCACCAATGTGCCATTGATGGCTTGCTCATTTGTAATGTGTAACATCTTACATAATTACATGTGAATTTCACATGATGAGGCTCCTGTCTATGTTTTGATAGGAGTGTGATCAATTTAATCCAAGAATGTTTGTACAAAGAAATCAGAAATGCCTTCTCTTTTCATAATCTTGGCCTAGTTTTAAAACACCATATTGATTTCTTAAAATGTTTTATTTGTTAATTTTACTTTAAAGGTAAAGCAACAGAGAGAGAGAGAGAGGGAGAGAAAAGGTGAGTATGAGAGAAGGAAGGAGAAATAAAGAACTTGAATCCGCTATGTCAGTTCCCTAATGGTTATAGTAGCCAGTGCTGGGTCGGTTTGACATCAGGAGCTATGAGCTCTTTCCTAGCCTCCCAGATGGGCAGCTATCAGTTCTGTCCTAGTCTCCCATACTTGGCCCTTCCCTCTGTGCCCTTCCAGGAGCCTTAACAAAGAGCTGAATCTGAAGTGGAGCCATCAGGAATATCTGTGCCACAGCACTGTTTCCTCTCAATGACTTTCTACCAGGCTCACATCCTACTTCTACCATGTACTAACTGTTAAATGTTAAAATTGGTATCAGAAGTGTCTATGATTAGCTTTTTCACTTGTAAAATGAAATTAATAATACTTACATTACAGATATCTTTTAATAAATAGCATCTAAAACACATCCTGCATGCTTCTAGGAAGAAATCATCTGTAAGGCACATGAACCAATATAAGGCTCACAATTTTAGATAAAAAACAGAATGATTGAGTGCACATCATGGTGCAGTGGGTTTATCCTCTGCCTGTGGTGTGAGCCACCCCCATGCAGCACCAGGTTGAGTCCAGCTGCTGTGCTTCTGATTGGGCTCTCTGCTAATGCTGGTGGGAAGGCAGCAGAAGAGGGCCCAGGTGCTAGAGACCCTGCCACCACATGGGAGAACTTGCTTAGGCCATGTGTGACCCAGACTGGGGCAATGATCTGAGGAGTGAACCAGTGAGCAGAAGATGTCACTGCCACTCTGCATTTCATGTAAACAAATAAATCAATCATTGGAAAACCACTTGTGGATGTTTAGTTGGTTTGGGTGTTGTTATGTTGGATACTACACTAACTTCTTCCCCAAAATGATAGTTTCATTTACATACCAGAGTTGGCTTTGTCATTTTATAACTACTTTCTCTGATATAAATGCCATTTTGCTATAGCAAGAGTTTTACTTACTGATTTTACTGTAAGGTCAGAACATTGAAAGTGGGCATGGAGAGATATGGGTAAGGGTGTGCTGTGCTGGGCCAATGCCATAAACAGGGAACTGAGTCAGACTTTCATATTGGCACAGTGATTGACTACTGAAGCTGTCACCTACTGCCTCCCAGAGCCTGCAGTGGTAGGTGCTCACATATCTTTGATATGTGGTGACATCTTGTGTGTCTCTTACCTGGTAGGGTAACCACCTCTGCTGGACGTTGTATCCTTCTGGGAAAGTATTTCCAAAGTCCTAAGGGGAAAAGAACATCATCTCTGAAAGACAGAAATACAGAAAGACACTCTTCCTCTATCAGAGCTTCCCAGCTGGCCTGCCTGTTGGTAAACCAGCAGACCCTACAGTAACATGGCTCAGCAAGGGTCTAGGCCCACCTGCGCATGAATGGCCTGGAATGCATGTTTACATTGCTCCAAGGAGGGCTTCACCCTCCTTGTGAGGGCTGGGCATTGGACCCACTGGTTCAGATGCCTGTGTCCCATGTTGGAGTGTCAATGTTTGAGTCTCAGGTCTACTTTCTGATTCCAGCTTTCTGTTTTGGTGGACTCTGGGAGGTAGCAGGTGAGGACCAAAAGATTAGGTCCTTGCCACCCATTTGTGAGACATGGATTGAGTTCCTGGTCCTGAGTCTAGACCCAGGCAGCTCCAGTAGCTGCTGACATGAGAGGTGTGAACCAGCATTTGAGCATGTTTTCTCTCTTCTACAAAATGACAGATTGAGAGCCAGCAGGGTAATGAAAAAGACACCATAGCCATGCTTTGACAGAACATCTGAATTCAAAGGCCACCAGCAAAATTCTCACAACTGCCAGAAGGTCTGTTGCAGGAATGTTTGCTTCTTTACTCAAGGAAGATAAGAAATGAACAGCTTCTACAATACAGCATTGTATGAAATGTGGGCAGAGTAGAGAGAATGCTCCATGATGTGATGAGCAAAGGATGTGAATGTGGGCATTCAGTTTCAACTGAGGTTTTGCCTTTCATGGTTGAAGAAAAAACTTTTATTTCATTGGATTCCCAGAATACTCATATTTTTATGAACTACTATCGTTTATCAGAAAGCACTAGACACTGACTTGTATGAATTTTAGTAAACAAAATTATACCAAAGAAATAAAAAGCAAAAGAGTTCTTTTCGATGATTTTGGCTAGTGCCACCATATCCTGCTACCAGAGCCAGACAGTGTTGATGCTAACGCCTCTGCTGGTCACTGCAACTAGCAGTGCTGGCAGGGAATCTTGGTCAAGGAGGTGAGTGTCGCCACTCCATCATAGCCAGGGTCACCTGTGTGGAATCGTCTCTTGTTTTACTTTTTAAAATTTTTCATTTATTTTATTGGAGAGTCAGGTATAGAGAGTGCAGGTAAATAGAATAAAAGTTCTTCCATCTACTGATTTATTGCCCAAATGACCAAAATGACTGGAGATGAATCTATCCAAAGCTAGGGGCCAGGAGCTTTCTTTGAGTCTCCCATGCAGGTACAGGGTCCCAAGGCCTTGGGCTGTCCTCCACTGCTTTCCTAGGCTGCAAGCAGGCAGCTGAAGTGGAAGCGAGTCTCAGGGACATGACTCAATAGCTATAGGAGATCACTGCAGGCAAGGTTATGGCTTTAGCCACTAGGCTTCTGTACTGGGTCCCTAATTTTACTTTTATTCAACAAATGACCCAGACGTAGGTCTGCAAGGAGGAATCAGATTAGCCAAGCCTGGGTTTGATGTGTCTGCATTTGTTCCAGGTTCAGGGAAGTGTCTCAGTCATGCACTGCAGTAGAAAGCAGTTCATAGAGTCTAGAGCAAAGAAAAGAATGAGTCCAAATACAAGGAAACAATTCAGTGAACCAGGCATGTGATGGGAAGAAAACCTAATGTGAGTGCTGCTCGTTGTTCTGAAAATCTTTTTGTAACCTGAAACAGGAACTCAGCATGTCCTTGAAGAGTGTGTCTAAGATGGAGTGTCCGTGAGACATCTGGCTTGAGTCTGCAAGTGCAAAACACAAGAGGATAGGAAGTAAGCATTGGTTTTCTTGTTTGGTAAATAGAAGGAGATTCGAACAGGACACGTTATAAAAAAGCTAGAATATGCATCATATCATGATGGTTCCCATAGTAGGTGAACTAAAGCATAGTGTGACTTGAGCAAATAAGAGACAGGAGAAGAAACTGTTTTCTTAAATAGCAGGTTTCAATAGAGGTTTCAATCTTAACTGCTTCAGCAGAACCGAGGAAACATGGAATACACATTTCTGAGAAGAAATTTACAGAGACAAAGATAGAGTCAGACAGAGAGATATATTCTGTCTGTTGGTTCGTTCCCCAAATGATTGTAGTGGCCAGAGTTGAGCTGATCTGAAGCCAGGAGCCTCTTCCCACAACTTCCATGTGGATATGGAAGACCAAGGACTTGGGCCATGCTCTGTTTCCTTTCCAGACCATTAGCAGACATCTGAATTTTAAATGGAGCATCCAATATACAACCCATTGCCCAGATTGGATCCCTTGCCAGGGGCAGAGGATTAGCTTGCTAAGCCAGCAGGATGGCCCTAGCAAAACATGAGACTACAACAAAAACATTTCAAAGCATGAAACTCATAGGAGGTTTGGGGCAAGAGCATTGCACCAGGGCTGTTGTGAACACCCATCTTCTCAAGGAAATGTCTCTGTTTTGGGAGCTTGGGTATTGGTTTTTTTTTTTTTTAAGTTGCATTTTGTTGAAAGGCAATGTGATAGAGAGAGGGAGAGAATAGAAGAGAACTCTTGCATCTGTTGGTTCACTTGCCATTGATTACAGCCCTTGGAGCTGGACCAGGGTGAAGGTAGTGCTAGAGGCTTTTGGGACTTATTTTGGGTCCTCTTTGAGGATGCATGGCCCAAGGACTGTCCTCTGCTGCTTCCCAGGCATGTTATCTGTTAGATATTGGAGTGATAGACATGTGTGTTCCAGCATGCAGGTGGCAGTTTACCTGGATGCGGATCTTGAAGTGTGGGAACTCTGAGTGGCAGCCTTAATGTTGACAGTTTGTCTTGAGATAGCACATTGTTGGCCTGTTTCTTCAGTTTTATCACACAGTCTTGAACTTGACTGTCTGTGGAGTTGGTGCAGAGCCACTCTCTGTTTTTAGTGTGGAAGCTGAGGAAAAGGAGAAGATTGGAGCCTGGGTTGTGTGCAGCAAATGTGGAGGGGAAG